ATTTAAAAAGAAAAAAATAAACTGTTTTCAAACAAAGCTGAGCAGCAATACTTGAAATTAGCTGAGTGCTGTGCTGGCATAGGGAATTATGAAGGAATTATTTACTATGTAAGTGACTATACAGTGTGAATGCCAGTCAATTACACTCAGAAACCAGCTGAAAACAAAGATAAGTCTAACAGACCTAATCTTACACCCCTAAAGTTTTGGCATTAACTTCCTGCCTTTTGTTTCAAAACCAGTGATTATTCTCTGACTAAATGCTGCTGAGATATGAGACTACTCAAACTAATTAACTGTAAAGAGAAAACAATCTGGAGCCCACTATAGTCTCTGTGAAGGTAACATCATTAAAGTAAACATTTCTACCAGAATTCCGAACAAAACTCAAAGCACAGTTCACAGGATACAAAGCAGACTAAGAGTAATTTCTGGCACTAACAGAAAGTAGACTGCTTGTATCTCATCATTACAGAGAAACAAAACTAACCTACTGCTCAGCTGAGAAGAAAGAAAAATACTCTATTACAATAATATTTGAGGGGGAAAAAAAATATGTAAGTCACAAATCAGATACTCTTAACTGTGGATCCAAGCACTGTTTGTATTTACAACAGACTTCTAACAGTTCTGATTTCCTAAATGAGAACCAAGATACAGCATGTACAAACATCCTTTAAATATATAAATATTTAAACATTGTATATAAATTATGTATGATTATAATCCTAAACAGCTACAGACTCATCAACTTTATGGTGCTCAGGCTAACAAAATATTAAGAATGAGTAAGAAAAATGCTATAGCTATACATTTCTACAGCGGAAGAATGCCCTAATAGTGACCTGTTGTGAATATTGCCTCAGAAGAAATCTACATTAATTTTATTTTAAAGTGTCATGTAGAAAAGCTGTAAGCTTTAAAATAAAAAATAGAAACCCAAAATGTATTGGTTGGATTCAATTAACTGATTTATTTTTAAAATTTGGGCTTGTTTGCAAATTTAGGTAAAGGTCAGTATTAGGGGAGGAAGGCTTTTTGTATGGCATATATATATTTATTTTTTTTTTAAAAGATCTGAAAGTGCTATGTATTTTTAGATATACTGTAAATCACTGAAAGGAAGGCATGGGATTTGCAGTGTATAAGGCATTCTAACTTCTTACCCCCACCAGTTCTGAAAAGATAATAAATTCAGCAAATTAACCAGAACAAGGCTGAGTCTTCCGCATGTCTCCACTACACAGGTAATCCTAAGCATGCCCCAGCTCAGCTTTCATTTGCAGCAAGCATTTAGTAAATTCTACTGATTTGATAAACAGGCAGACTTTGTGTAGGAAAATTCACTGAAACACTAACTGCAACAATAAAATCAGTGTGAATAAGTTTTTATTTTCTTAGACCCCTTTCTCTCCTACATCCATTCTCCAACAGAGGCACCAACATTTCAAATGAAGAACTGCCATTTCATTTTGTCATGTTCTGCATATGAGTTATAATACCAATATAATCATACTATATGCCACAGATGAGCTCTAGGATCTGAGGAAACTACCATTCCATGCTCTTTTCCCCATGTTTACCAAAAGCTATCACCCCAAGAACAGAAGGCTGCATACGCCTGTACCTTAGCTGTTTCTCAGCAGAGTGCAGAAATCATAGCTGAGGAATGAGGCTTTACACTAAGAGTCTGGACTTTACAACGGGCTGGCTATTATATTAATCCCATGCACAAGTAATGAACTTCACAATACATTTTTTGGCTGACTGTAGCTTTTACAAGCAACTTCACCACCAGTACAGAGGCATGAAGAACTGACTTTAATAGCATGCCTACATTAGCATTTTAGGTCAGATGTAAAACGTCCTTTTGAAACCAACTTCCTGATCACCCTCACTGCTCTGGTTCATACTGGGCAGTCACTCCAGAACAGGCAACCAGATTTCTTTTGTATGAAGCTAACCTAGAAAACACACTCTAGGAGTGCACCTAATGAACCCCAGCTAACACTCAGTCACAACCCGGACCAGGTCAGAACTTGATCAAAGGAACACTTCTGAAATACACACGCAGGGTGGAGGGCAGCTACTCAGCACCACTTGTGTTGTGTCACACTACTTGCTAATACAAACACTGATGGCACATGCAACTGAGCCATGAGTTCAGGCATCTGAGCCAAGTGAAAAGTAACTTAACAAAACCCCCTAACTTTTGGCTGAACAAGCTCCCTGAGCCAGCTCACTCTCTGTTCAAACGAATGTCAGTGCCAGCATAAGGCAGCTCCAGCTTCTAGTGGTTTAAGCTACCACGAAGCCCATGTTAGGTCACAACTGAAATACCCAATTGCTCTAGAAGGAGGAAAGCTCTGCACTTCCCCTCCATCAGCAAATGGTTTCCCTGCCTCTTCCCTTGTGCCAGCACTGACACTCATTCAACCCCGCTGTTAGGGAGACAAAATCAACAAAATAAATGTGATTAATTTTCTGCCTGCATAGCCCCCGATGCCAGCGTACAACAGCATCAAGCAGACACTAGCAGCTCTGCAAGGAGAAGCAGCAGCAGGTGGCTGGGGGAAGACTGAAGCACCTCCTTCAGTGGCAACTCACAATTAGAGTGGTTTAGCTACAGTGTGAAACCACACCCTGCAACCAATTTAAAGACTCATGTCATTGCTGCGAAGTAGTTGGGCTTGTTATCCCAACCCATGCACTTTTATTCACTGTTTTATGCAAACCTTCTACCTTAATGCTAATTTCAAGGAAGTGCACAAAACCGCAGAAATATGGGTTAATAAAGGCTGGTGTTCTCACATGTGCAGTTAAGGTTGTAACACAGTCTGTGGTATTTTTGTTCTGGTAATATGGCTGTCCTTTTGTGGATGTGTATTAAGTGGACATACGGCTTTTTTGGTTTTTTTGTTTTGTTGCTCTGTGAGCATATGATTTGTATACAGCAACTGTGTCAGTCTTCTGTATGTTCATTTATTCCCATTTAATAGGCAGCTGACAAGTGTCCGTTAGAGGCAGAAATGAGAATGATTAGGAACAATTAGACACAGGTATTACCTTTTCCTGTTGCAAGACAGAAATCTCACATAAACATAACTCTTTGCAGGAAAGGTTGCATGTGTATCCAGCCTTTAAACAACAGATTTGCAAGCAAAACAGTTTATGGGTCTAAAAATGCAACTGTCACATTTTAATTTCCAACAGAATCAACTCTAAATTAGTCAAAGGTATCTACCGACCTGTATTACTGAAGAGGAAAAACTCAGAGATACTTCCTCAGGACTTGCTTGGTCCCTGTGAGGTTGAAGAGCAGTAATTTTGCACACCTACGAAGGTACTCGACATTCACGTGACAAGTACTACACTTACATTCCAGGATTATATAAGAATTACCTGAATCAAGTTCCTTTCCCCACAAGCATCAGGTGCTTCAAACAGGTAAGAGCACAGCACCATGTGGTCAAAAGAGGACTCCATCTCCTTCACAGGGTTTCCTTATTTCTTAAGCTATATCATCTTGGTTGGGGTTTTAGTTACATAGTCACAGCTTCTGAAGCATGAAATGCAATTTCCCTTGGAAGAACTCCCATCCAATGTATTCACACCTGTGTTAACCTGACGTACAGCCCTACTTCAAGGAGAACATAAAAATGACTAGACAACTAGATTTTCTCCCTCACAAATACAAGGTACTTTACAGGTAACCAGCAGCAATTGCACAAGATATTCGCCATGGGGCAAACTGCTAAGGGCATTTTGACTTTCTTTGTATTATTTACAGTCTCATTCCTCATGCAATCTAGTATCTTGTTTGCTGTTTTAACCACAAGGTTTTCCTTGAGATCACTACAGTGATAAGCCACGTCTGCTTCTTGAGTTAATTTATTTAGAGCCCGTGGAATGACGCCTGAGTAGTTTCTCTTCTTCAGATGTGATCTACTTTGCAAGAAAATATTTGACCTCCTCTGCAACAGATAAGGATGTAAACTGTGGCCACTTGTATTCAAAGTTTCAAGTCTTTCCAAGTTCTTGCACTAAATCCCTGAATAAAACAAATTCTCTAACACTAGCCTACTATTACTCTTTAGAGTAATCCAGACAAGTTTTATGGAAAATAGATTTTAAATACAACAAACACAAAGATTCACTTTCCTGGGATGATTCTTCTTAAATTGGTTGGCCACACACAAAAAGCAGCAGTGGGTGGCCCTTGAGAAACCTCACTCGTAATACTGAGCATGCAGACTATCTTACCATTAAGTCCAGTCTAGCAAGTCATCAAATAAGAGATTACTAGTTTTACCAGTAAAAAGCATTTCTTATTCAGCACTCTTCCACTTTTTTGCATCTTAAATTAATTGTAACTAATCAAGTCACTCTTGCCCAACCACGTCAACAGTAACCCTAGTTAAGCCTGAGTATTCTCCTGAAATCTGATACTAAATTGCAGAATGCTGAAATTTATGTACTGTATTTCTGGCTACAGTAACATTAACACTTTGTTAAAAAGGCTGCTTATCTCACCACGCTGAGGATGAAACTGCACAAAAGGCAGCACGGCTTTTTAGGTAGAGTTTTACCCACAGCAGCTCAAAAGACTACATAAACTTTAAAGCATTGAACAATGACAGAGGGAACTGCAGAAGCAGCAAATCATGACAAATAGCTGTTCATAAGAATGGTTCATGGGGAATACTTTCCTCACATAATTACACAAGGCACATGAGAGCAGACTTTCCCTTTTCTATGCTGGTAGCCCTGTAATACTGCTACACCTTTTAGACGTAACCTGGCCAAGGAAGTAAGTGCTAAAAGTGTACACATACATATTGCAAGTGTGGGCCAGTGTCATTCTTAGCACTGCATTTTTCTTTGTTAGAAATGTTTTGGCGACTACAGGTAAGTTAATACCTGCCGGGAACTGATGTCCAAAAAAGACTACACAGCTCAGGTGAAGTGGATTAGCGTCAGTAACACCCAGCAATACAAACCCAGATTTCCTTCTGTGTTGCTCTTCATCAGCAGACTGCGGGACGAATCTCCCTCAAATCCCCAAAATGCTCTGGGGTTCTCGCGCTTTGGATGGCCTCTGCCGACACGAAGCAAACAAGACACTTTCCTACCAGTTGCTGGACGCCGCCAGCAGAGATTATCAACAGCCCCTTCCCAGCCTCCTAGTCAGAGGCCCCACAAGTACATTAGCGGGGGCCTGCTA